TGAGCTCTACTGGTTATAGCTTCTTTGCATATAAAGTAACAACTGGTTGAGGAGAGGTTTATATATATATATATATAAACTAATAAATACATTTTCATTCAAAATAAATACATTTTCATTTATATGTGTCTCGTACCAGCAGCTTCCACATGAAATCTGGTAGCGTTTCCCCATCTAGTCACACCCAGAGATAAGATTCTCTACTAGTTCAGGGGCCGGGATTCTCCTTCAGCCTACGGGCCAAATTCTATATCAGAGAAGTTCTCAGGCTGCATTCCAGAAGGGTGAGACCCAAAGCAGGAGGGTGGGGCCAAAAATACCAGCCTATTTAGCTTAAATCTCTTTCTGACAGTCACTAAGCTTTAAGAGAGGCATTTCAAGCTGTCAGCATTATGACGAGACCTATGCAAAAGCAAAGAAACTGCCAAACAGTAACCAGAATCCTGTTTGTTTCCAGATAGCATACAGTTATTTCTGGATAAATTTGCTGGGCATTACAGGTAGGCAATGGGTATTACGCAATTCAATTGGTCACACAGCTCCTGTTGCAACATTATGCAACATGCCTGCAGAAATGCTTTGTGAATAGCACTTCTCCCTTGGTATTCTTAGAGCTACTACTTGCATAATGTTGAGTTTGAAGGCATAACTGCTCAGCAGGATATCTGTTAGTATACCATAGGAAAGAGGGTGTGTCTGTCTGGGGAAGATTTGGCAGCGTGGCCTGAAGTTTTCCATTCTCACTCTAATAGAACATATCGCCAGGAAGAGCCACATCCTAAATGCCAAAGAAACAAGACCATTATTCTTTAGTCACAGAATTGCTTTCTGGAACTCTGAACATTGTTTGTGGTCATGTGTGGAAAATATTGATTTGCCATATCTTGTTGGTTCTTCTCTGTGGTGTCTGTGATTTTACATATATACAGAGCCTCGTTTGGAAACTTCTAGATCTGAGTAGCTTTGGGCAGGAACTGCATCCCCATCGCCAGCATAGATGTCTGGGCATGCATTGTCAAAACTTTGCTCCTGTAATGATGGTAGACATAATCTGAGTAGTGTTTATTTGTCATTGCTCATGCTTTTATCTTCCATTGTTATACTACAGGAATTTGTTATACTACAGGCTATTCCAAGAATGCTTTTGAATTTTTTTTCTTTGAACTTCTTTGCTTAAGGCCTCTGCACCCACTTTAACAAATGTTTTTACTTCGCAGGTTAAAATAGCCTCATGAGGTGGACTTGCAAAGTCCTTTCCTGTTTTAGTGAGGGAGACTTCATTCAGCAGTGTATAGTATGCCATAGTTTCACTGAAGTTTCTCAGAAACTGGGAGTTAAGAGTTCATATGTAGGATAAATATTTATAGGTTGCAGACCTATTTCAACTTTTTCATATTGTATGTTTTTTCAACCTGCAAGATTCTGTTCAAAGGATGCCTCGTGATAGCTGTTCAGTTCTATCTTCATCACCTCCAGAAAATCTAATGAAGGTAATTACAATCCCATAGTATTGAACCCTGGAGTTTAATATGGCTTGCTCCAAGGTTAAGAGGGCATGACAGGCCTAGGGCATTTTTCTGCCTGAAGTGGGGCACCAAAGGGCACCCAACATTCATGGACATCTAAGCATGCAGCACCTAGGCAGAAGACCCACAAGCGCCACCTGAATTGGGCCCTACAGGCAAATGGCTATTCCAAGAATGAAATCACAAGAACCATCAAATCAAGAAAACAACACTGAACTGAAGAAGAAAAACAGCCCCCCACAAATAAAGTATTTCTGCCATATATCAAAAAGGTCATGGATCACATGGGGAAACTGTTGAAAAAACACAACCTACAAATATATTCAAGTACACCACAAAAATACAGTACAACATATGCTACAGTCAGCAAAGGATAAAAGGGATCCCCTCACCACTGCAGGAGTATACTGGATATTCCTTGCAGTTGTGGCCAGGTATATATATACTGAAACCACAAAATGCAGCATCCAGACTGGAATCAAAGAGCATGAAAGACACAGCAGACTGAAGCAACTGGAAAGATCTGCAGTAGCTGAACATGCCTTAAAACAAGCTGGACATGAAATTCTGTTTCAAAATACTGAAGTACTGGACAACACCAACAATCATTATGTTAGACTACACAGGGAAGCCATTGAAATCCACAAACACCAGCAGAGCTTCAACAAAAAAGAAGAAAGTAGAAAACTCAACAAAACCTGGCTCCCAGCACTGAAAAATACAGCCTGCATAAAGGTCAATGAACTCTACCCAGCCACAAGGAGTGATGATCACTGCATACAAAAGACTAGCCAACAACACCCATCAATCACAGTGACACATCGTCTCTCCCCTTATCACAACAAAACACTCATAACAAAAATACCTTGCTCAAAGGAAACGCCCAATCTCCTGAAAAAAACAAAAACTCTGATCCCAGCTACAAATACTCAACAATCCCACACACTACACCAGAACACAGACAGAATTCTAGCTCCTGTCCCCTGAAGATGCCAGTCACAGAGACTGGCGAAACATTAGGAAGAAAAACCTCCAGAACACAGCCAAACAGGCCAAAAAACCCACAACTACCATCGTATCCCAGCCGCGAAAGCCTTCGAGAACACATTTGTATCTAGCTTTTCCATAGCTGTCAGTCTGATTTCTGCATAATTGAAATGTGCCAGTTACTTCTTTAAAAGTTACATGTTTTCAGTAACTCTTGCATTTCTATGAATAGAAGCAATATAAAAGAATAAAGCTTGTAGGATTGTGCAGGCCGGTATTTCCTGGAATTAATTTTCCCTGCTTACTTCACCATGAGTGAAACAATGGTTTATTTTCATCCTTTGAAGAGGGATGAAGTAATTAAACAATGAAAATACTTACACTTTCATACCCAGATGTACTATGATATGATTGTCATGGTTAGCTTATTTCATACTGGAATTAACCCTTTCAGGAATAAATGTCAGCTGTGACAGACTTCAATAGAAAACTACCAAGGGATATTATAAAGTGTAATAGCGCTCTGAGGTTCAAGTGTCATACTTTGACCTTGACCTCAGCATTACTCCAGCCACCAGGGCAATGCTGCTTGGAAGATTCTGGGAACTAGAATACCAAACAAGCTCAGGACAGAAGGAAAGTCCCATCTAACTCCTGCCACTGTCATACACCCCACCTTCCATTCTGTCCTGTGGCATCTCTGGCCATTGTTTGTGTTTTGCAGTCAAGGATTGCACTGAATGCACTAACTAACTGAATGGCTTTGTTGACTAGAGCAAATTCAATAGCTGTATATGAATGTGTTACATAGGAATGGGTATTCCTACCTAGGGTTCTGTATTTGGTCTATCCCATGCAGTCATCACAGACCAGACCCATGCTGGCTGAGGATGATGGGAGTTGTATTCCAACAGAACTGAACAGCTCTAGGTGGAAAACACTGGTCCAAGGCACTGTGCGTATATGTATGTGCGTATTCATAATGAGCACCTTTATACAAACCCAAATATTTTTGTTGCTTGCAATTTCTGTAATTGTAATTCTCTCTCTCTCTCTCTCTCTCTCTCTCTCTCTCTCTCTCTCTCTCTCTCTCTCTCTCTGTGTGTGTGTGTGTGTGTGTGTGTGTGTGTGATTTGTCTGGCAGCTTCCAGAGCTGGACCAAGAAAGTCATTTTGTTGTAATGTCTTGTACACTCGATAGGAAAAAATGCACATGACGCAAGGATGTGTGATTAGAGAAAACATTATATGCTTGTTTCATTTTGTTGCCAGAAGTAGCATCAGAAAAGAGATAGGGGCACTCCATCGCCTGAGCAAGTTCATCCTTGCATCTATTCTTCATGGGTGAATTCCAGCAGCTGCTGCTCAGTCTCCTTGGGGCCATCATTTGCCTGGTTTTTCTGGTGAAATGCATTCGGTTCTTGAAGTATTTCATCCCATATATATGGAGTATTTTGCCTCCATCTTTTTTCCGATCCATGGGGGAATGGGCAGGTAAATGAACTTTCCTCACATTGGCATTGATGGAATGGGATGGGAGATGGTGGGAGCCAGCAGCTACTCAGGAGTCAAATGCATGCTTTGTGTGCAGAAGCTCTTAAGGTATTTCTGTGGTATTGCTGGCTAGGGCAGGGAAGTCCTTTCCAGTATCCCAAAGAGCCATTGCTGGTCAGGGATGGATAATACTGAACTGAATGAGACAATGTTCTGACTTGGTTTTTCCTAGGTTCCTGTAATGCAATACTATTATACTAATTCACTCTTTTACTGTAAGGCATTTTAAACTCTTTGCTTTTCATGTTTTTTGTTTGTTTGAAAAAACATTTAAAATAGAAAAAAGTAGCTAGAACTGTTGTAACTGTAAAGGTTCATATGTGAAAATTTTCAAATAGAAAAAAGTAGCTAGAACTGTTATTGTAACTGTAAAGGTTCATATGTGAAAATCCTTTGAAATATAAAATCCTCAGTCAAGCGTGGGTTAGATCTTTGTTGAAAATAATCAGAATGCTAGAAATGTGTGCAAGAATGTTTTACCAGGCTAAGTGGTACCAAATTAATGCTTTGTTTTTCCTACCTAAAGACTTCTGGAATACTCATAAGCTCCCACACTTTCATGATATTTTAGTTGATCTTAATAGAAGCATTACCCAATTGTGGATTTTATTTTTTATTCATGGAAATGTTTGTCTTTAATTTTAATTTAAAAAAAATAACAACCTAACCTAATAATCAATTCAGCATCTTACAAAACCAGAAATTTCAACCTTTTTCCCCCAGAGTGTTTTTTTTTAATTCCAGTAAGATGTTGTAGGTGTTTTCACTTTGTATAAGCAAGAGAATTTACTATTTTAAAAAACTTTTCTCATTTGGATCTGAAGTGAAATCCTAAATCTGCATGTGTACTCAAAAGTAATTTCATCTCAGTCTAATGAGGCTTACTTCTTAGCATGAGAAGCCTGTGGTCTGATCAGGGGAACATCTCAGTATGAAGTGATGAGATGTGTTGCTTACTCTGTTTGGACCATCGGCCACTGACAGTTCCTACTAAAAGTGCATAGAGTTGTTTCTAAAGCTGATAGCTCAAGTGTATTAACATCCCTTTACAAAGGAGACAAAACGTGGCACAAATCTGTTTCTCACCCTCCCCAATTTTTCCAGTATTTCTGAAATATTGACAAACAAGCTGATGCGGAAACTTCAGGTGGTGCAGAATGCGGCGGCGAGACTCCTTACTGGAGTGAGAAAATACCAACATATCTCTCCTACTCTGGCCATGCTGCACTGGCTGCCCATCCATTTCTGCATTGACTTCAAGTGTTAATGCTTACATATAAGGCCCTAAACGGTTTAGGACCCCGATACTTGGTGGAACGCCTGCTCCCACCTAGATCTACTCGGATCACCCACATGAGCCAGGAGGTGAGGCTGAGGAGCCTAAAGCCGAGGGAGGCCCAGAAGGAAAGGACACGAAACTGGGTCTTCTCAGCGGTGGCTCCTCGCCTCTGGAATAACCTTCCTCCGGTTATTCGTGCGGCCCCTACGCTGGGCACTTTTAAGAGTCAACTAAAAACATGGTTGTATGTTCAGGCCTTCCCTCCTGTCAATATTTAATTCTTTCTTTATTTTTTCTTTCATTTATTATTTGTTTTATTATTGTATGTGTTATGGACTGTTTGTAAAATTCTTATGTTTTATCGTATACACCTTACTGGAAGCCGCCCAGACCAGATGGGCGGGATATAAATCAAATAAATAAATAAATAAATGAAAAAAGGAGAAAAGCCACAAAGGTATCATACCAAAATAAATGAGCAAATAACAACATATTGAGAAGAAATAACTTCAAAAGATAATAAGTCTGCAAATCTTATGCACACTTCAGTGCTACTGAAGACCATGTGGTTCAGTTGGACAGACACACAAAGGATCATACTATGAACTCATATCCACTTATTCAGGAGTTAGCTTTATTGAACTCAATGGGCTTTACCTCTAAGAAAACATGTAAATACTCATATATAAAGTGCAGTTATAGTAAGATAAATACGGTACAATTGAAATGAAATGAAAACTTTGATTTAAAATTTAAAATGGCTGCTGGGATTTTAAATTAAGTTAACGTGAGGATGTTCACAGAAAGAAAGTTTCCTTTAGGGTGATTCTTCCTTCTCTAGTGCTCTCTTGGACATTGTTTGGGAAGGACCTGAACCCTCATGAAAGGCTTTTTGGGGACCACAGGAGGCTGCAAGAGGAAAAAAGGGATGAGATCCTTAACAGTTACATTCCTATAAATGTCCATTAAGTCCCACTGAGTTCAATGGAGCTTATACCTGAGCAGGTGAGAATTGGACTGGATGCTGCATTCGCATCTTAGAAACCAAGTCAGCTGGTTCTTGTTTTTGCTTTTGATTATCAATTTATATGCTGAGCAGGAGGGAGATTATGTACTCATTGCAGACATCACATATGAAGGGGGGGGGAGTCATAAATAGCATGGATTAGGCACAAATATTTACTCAAGAACAGTACTTTGTAAGAAACGAGCATGAAGTACACTTTTCCCTGTTCAATACACTCACCCCACCCCATATGTGAACACTCACTAAATATTCATGAAGACAAAGATGACCAGGAAACACTCTCATACACCCTATGAGGAACTGTGATGTTTAAAATGCAAGAAAGTCCAAGGAAAAGAAAGATCACACATTCTTCTTTGCCTTTTGATCTTTTAGTGATCACTGGAGCAGGAGATGGCATTGGAAGAGCCTATTCCTTTGAGGTAAGATGAAGAGCTACAAGATTGCCCGATGGGGCACTCCAGGGGATTCAGAGGGATTTTAACGTACCTTTTCAAAGAAATCTAGAACTCTAATAAAGCTGCCCTTTCCTCTAGACCAATGCCTCCTGTGGCAGCTAATAGGGGGCAGCACTTCCAGCGTTCCGGTTCTTCTTTCTGAGTGTCTTGAACGTTTCCTTCTTTTAGAGACCAAGATGGTGAAGATTGCGCAGCCTGTTCTGTACCACTTAAACTAGACTCCTGCCTGGGGCGTGGTGGAACCCTGGAGCCACTGCCCATTTGGCAGTGTTGAAGTAAGGTTCAACTAACAGTCAGCTTTTGTGTGGAGAAGGGAGGAGGGGTCTCCATTTGCCTCAGGCAGCAAAATCTCACGAGACTGCCAGGCCTGGGGCTCAGAAAATAGCTCTTTATTTATTTATTGGGAAACCACTGAATGCAGAAGTAAACTTAGGCAAGCCATACACCCAGATTCAGAACAACATATGATGATGGAGTTCCACAGAATCAATAATTGTGGCAGCCAAATCAGGACTGTTTTTGCCAAAGAAAACCTTTATTGGCAGTTTTCCCCTAGTGACTGCAACTGGAGTACTCCAGAATTATAGGATCAGTCAGGAGTTAATGACACAATCTGTTAAGGGAATGTTGTGCCAAACTGAATGTGCCACATAATCTTAGGGGAAGAATATTATTTCCCCTGTAGCACTGAACTCCTATGGTGGCAAGTAAGTGAATATCCTCTTGAAGAGGAATATCCTCTTGAAGAGGATACCTCAGGAGCAGGCCCAGCCCAAGAACCTTTTTGCTTCCTGAGGCAAAAGGCAGTATACAGTAGCTCCCCTCCCATTCCATAGGCAAAAGCCAATAAGTCATTCCATCTTCCCTCAACACTGGCAATGGAACAGCACCTTCTAAGACAAATGGAAGTAGCAGATTACCTTAGAGAATGGAAGACAGGCTGCAGGGGACAGAGCTGTTTCCCCCAAAGTCTTTCTGCAGTCTTCCAACATCTGCCACCAGAGACCTACAACCTTTAATGATAGAACTAGACCTGCACAGATGATGATGTTGTTTAGTTGTTAAGTCGTGTCCGACTCTTCGTGACCCCATGGACCAGAGCACGCCAGGCCCTCCTGTCTTCCACTGCCTCCTGGAGTTTGGTCAATTTCATGTTGTTTGCTTCGGTGACACTGTCCAACCATCTCGTCCTCTGTCGTCCCCTTCTCCTCTTGCCCTCACACTAGTGATAGATAATATCAAAGGGCAAAGAACTGACTCTTGATCATCATCACTGGTTCATGTGATTAAGGTGGGGGGGCACACCCTCAGATTTGGATGAGACCTTCCGCAATGCATCCATGGCTATCACCTGAAAGACCAAGACCTATTAGAATTCCCAAGTGGTTCAGGCTTATACAGTGGGATCTTGATTTGAGAACTTAATCCATATTGGAAGGCGGTTCTCAAGTCAAAACGTTCTCAGGTCAAATCTGCATTTCCCATAGGAATGCATTGAAAACCATTTGATCCGTATCTGCTCTTTTCCGTCCATAGAAACTAATGGGAAGCTGCTATTCTGCCTTCGACCACTAGAGGGGGATATTTTGTTTCTTTTTTTCTTAGGTCAAGAAAGGTTCAGGGAAGGCAGGAAAAATACAGTCCAGGCAGTACAGTACCAGGCAGTCTGAAGACTCACTCCCAATCCACTCTCTAAACGCTGGGAGGAGTGAGGAAGCAGACAGGCACCCTTTTCACTGGCCAACAGTTAACTGAAAGTTCAAATTTTGCACTTTCCCTGCCTCCCACGTGGTTTTTTTTCAGTTCTTAACTCAAATCTATGTAAGTCAAGTCAATATTTTCCTATGAGAGTGGTTCTTAAGTCAAAATGTTCTTAACTCAAGCCGTTCTTAAGTCAAGACCCCACTGTATTAGTGACTAGAGATGGGATCTCGCAGGGAAGCCCATCCCTCCCTAAACTGGCCTGTCCACTTATGGATTGCCACACAGTGCACATGGCCAGCAGCATCTCCATCACACCAATTGCAGAATTAGCTCAGCAGGTGCTTCCCTGCCTCTCCGCATTGCTGACCACATAGCAGCTGAGCAGGGAGACTCGGCATCCCACCTCCTTGCTGGATTGTTCAGCAGAGCAGGAAGGTAGGGAAGCACCAGCTGGGCTACTTCCGTGACTGACATGATGGGAATACTGCTGGTTGTGTGCGACAACCCATAGGTGGATGGGCCAGTGTGGGGAAGCGGGACTGGACTTCCCTGCCATCTGCACCCAGGATATTCATATTCATATCTCCAGGGATATGAATATGAATATCACATTTCTACTAGTGACTGCTGTGTTTTTCACCTCTGCGCAAATATTCCAAAGCTGTGACTCTCAGAAGAAATTCAGAAAGCATCTGGGGAGTAGTGTGACAGTAGAAATCAGTACAAGATTGGCAGTTTTACCTTCCATTCAACTATAGGGTGTGTTTTCATGTGAAGCACCATTAACTATAATGATCTTTTGACTAGAGAGTGCTTCATTGCATCAATAATGCCTGGTCAGTTCTTAAATCTTAATATGTTCTCATCTTATTTTTGCAGCTGGCCAAACGTGGTTTAAATGTTGTTTTGATCAGCAGAACACTTGGAAAATTACAGAAGATTGCCTTTGAGATTGGTACGTTCCTTAAAAAAAATTAAGCATTCTCTTCAAATGAGCCTTTATTAATGCATATACACTATATCCGCTTTATCTTGACATATATCATTTTGCTTCTGTGTTTAGTTCAAAAGCATAGCAGTGAAGGATATTTTATATGTGGCATAGCAATTATATGGTATTTTCAACATACTATACATAGGCGTTGCGGGCTAAACTGCAGAAGCCTGTGCTGCAGGGTCAGAAGACCAGCAGTCAAAAGATCGAATCCACGCGACGGAGTGAGCTCCCGTCACTTTGTCCCAGCTCTTTGCCAACCTAGCAATTCGAAAGCATGCAAATGTGAGTAGATAAATAGGTACCACCTCGGTGGGAAGGTAAAATGGCGTTCCCTAGTCGCTCAGAGTGGTATAGATTTACAAGATGAGCGGGATATAAATCAAATCAAATAAATAAATAAATAAATAAATAGTCACGCTGGCCACGTGACAACGGAAACTATCTTCGGACAAGTGCTGGCTCTACGGCTTGAAAATGGGATGAGCACCGCCCCCTAGAGTCAGACACGACTGGACTGAAAAAATGTCAAGGGGTTCCTTTACTTTACCTTTTTATACATAGGTCTGTATAATTAAATTAGCATTTGGACGTGCTGATGAAGTGAAACTACCATCTATGAAAGCATATGCCAAATAAAACTTATTAGTCTTTAAATAATCACATGAAGAAGGTGTCTTTTAATTTCATGGCTCCTGTCACCATCTGCAGTTATCATGGAGCCCAAGAAAGTGAAATCTGTCACTACCTCCGTCTCTTCCCCTTCTATTTCCCAGGAGGTGATGGGACCAATGGCCATGATCTTAGCTTTTTTGATGTTGAGTTTCAGGCCGTTTTTTGCACTCTCCTCTTTCACCCTCATTACAAGGTTCCTTAATTCCTCCTCACTTTCTGCCATCAGAGTGGTATCATCTGCATATCTGAGGTTGTTGATATTTCTTCCGGCAATCTTGATTCCGGCTTGGGTTTCTTCCAGTCCTGCTTTCCGCATGATGTATTCTGCATATAAATGAAATAAGCAGGGAGGCAATATACAGCCTTGTCGTACTCCTTTCTATAACCCAGTTTAAAAAAATCTTAAGAAGGCACAATCCTGCTTAGCCTCTGAAATTGGATGAGGTATGTGAGTATACAGTATGTGGGACAGGAAGCAACAGTTAGGACTGGATACGGAACAACTGATTGGTTCAAAATTTTGAACCCAATTTTGAACCAATCAGTTGTTCCGTATCCATTTTCCTAACTGTTGCTTCCTGTCCCACATATACTCACATACCTCATCCAATTTCAGAGGCTAAGCAGGATTGTGCCTGCTTAAGATTTTTTTAAACTGGGTTATAGATGGGGGAGAGGAAGAACATGTCACATGATGAAGTGTAAAATGGCTGTGATTCTTCATTGCCAGGAAATTATTCACTTTATCTAAGAGTCCCAAGTTCACAAGCTGTTCTCCTGGCAAGTAAAAGTTGATTCATACTTGACATAATAGCTGAGTTCAGGGCTGGTCCTACCTTTAGGAAAAGTGATGTTGCTCCCTTGGGTCCAAGTAAGGCAGCAATTTTATTCACTTTTTAATCAAGAATTACTGTATTTCTACTGCAAAGAATGAGGACAAATAATATGAATCCTTACCTGGGAGTAAGTCCCATTGAATATAGTGGGATTTTCTTCTGAGTTGTACTGCCTTTGATGAATTCAACTTCTCAGTCCTAGATGTTAAAGTGAGTTTTGTTTAATTGCTTTCAAATATTGGGATAATTTATTGTACTTTTTGGCTTTTAATAAGGTCTGTATTAATATTGTGAACCATCTTTGGTCCTCTTAAGGGAAAAGCCAGGCTACAACTAATAACATGAAATGAAAACTGAAATTAAACTGAGGGTTAGGCTTTATAGCAGGTGGGTCTCTGGCTCTTGATCACGCAGATGAAGTAACAAAGTGGAAGAGATTTTAGGATTTGTTTGATTTTTACTGCCACAAAAGGAAAGAAGTCCTTGTGATACCATCTTGTTCGCAACACCTAAGTCCAGGGTAAAGCTTAGAAAAGTTACTTTTGGGGCTACAGCTCACAGCCCCAAATTCTGCTTTCAAAACTTTGCTAATGATGTCATCAGCTCACATAAATTTTATTTTTAATTAATTAAATGCTTCTGATTTCTCCTTTTAAGTTCTAAGGCTGCCTAGGGTTCCTTTTGCCCCAGGGAAGCCTTTGGGGAGCCTCAAGAGCAGGGATGGGAGAACCTTTAATCATAGTCAGATCCCTGTAACTAGGGTCAGGAGTCAGACCAAAAAAGTAACTTTTTCATGCTCTGGATAGGGGCATTTCCCACTGCATATTTACAGACGCATGTCATCCCCTGTAACAAATATATCAGAACAATACAGACACATATAAGGGGAAAACACAATGGATATGCCTAAAATGTGAGCCAGCTATAAATACATAGAATTAAATTTCTGTACTGCATTGATGCAACATTTTAATTCATGTCACCATTATAGTTTTACAACACGATCTAGCATGTTGCATCTAGAAACCAGACATTTTCCTTTATGGAACCAGGGAAAATATTTTTCTTTTCCAAATGCAGAGCAAGGCACGGGACAGAAAGTGAAAATCATACAAGCGGACTTCACAAAAAATGACATATATGATGCTCTTGAAGAAAGTCTTCAAGGTCTAGAAATTGGAATTTTAGGTAAGTTGTCCAAAAAATGCTTTTTAAGAGTCAGGGCTATACCAAGACTTTTACCCCCTTGTTGAAGTGAAGCAAGAAATGTCACCAAGATTTTATGGTCAGGCTTTCATTCTTTCTTTTAATGTGTATCAAAGCAGTCCGTATCAACCTGCATAGTACAGATGTTATTGTGGCACATAAGCAGAGCTTGAAAAAGTTATAGTGGCCACGCTTACTAAGGATTCTGGGATTTATAGTCAAAAAAGCAGTTTTTCAAGGCTTTGCACACAAGACAGAAAGCCTCTCCAACCTCCCTGGAAGTAAAAATAGAATAATAACAAAGTAAAAACTAGAAATTTGTTGGAATTTCATGACACCTTAAACCTGCTACTTGAGATGGCTGCCTCACTTTGTCTAGAGGCAGGACAGGCACTGTGAAGAATTCATTTTAAACTAGTGAGGTACATGTTTTGTTTTCTATGTATACATGATTTGGGAATTTCTGTAAAGTATTAGACATCTATAATTATTCATTATTTAATTCAGAATATAAGAGGCTGCTGTCAGAGTAGAACATTATAGCAAGTTGTTATTATTATCAGTCACGAATGTCAGTCAAACAAATATGTCAGTCAAACTTAATGTTTTAGATGAACACTTTTGGGCTGGACATCTGCCTGTAGTTGAAGGGTATGTTGGAGGTTGTTTTTTTTTATCACCTAAGACAGATGTGGTCTTTCACATGGACTATAATTCCCATCAGCCCAGCTGATAAGGAGGGATGACAGAAGTCCAGTAATATCTGGTGGTTCATAAGTTCCACATCTGTGACTGACTTTTTGTTGAAAGTTCTGTTTTTATGTAGTATTATTTTTATATATATTGCTAGTTGTTTTTTTTAAGCTGCCTAGAGTGGTCTTAACCAACTAGATAGGCGGGATATAAATAAATAAGTAAATAAATAAAATATGACTTACTGACTTCAACAGTTGCTCTGCCTTCAGAACAAATAGAGCTTAGCTATGTGACTTGACTTAACTGTATTTTGTCTTATTAGTTAACAATGTTGGGATGCTTCATAACAGCACCCCGTGCCGTTTTCTCAGTGAACAGGACAATGATGAGGTAAGGAATGTTTGTGAAAGCAACTGCTCACATCCACACATTCCCTTTCATATGCTGTGAAAATAAAGAGATGGATGCCAGGGCTGCCTGGTCAGCGGTCAGCTGTGTGAACAAGGTCTTGGCCCTCAGGACCAGAGCATTATGGGAAGAGAGGGCAAAAAAGAAAAAAAGAGGAAATTACCTCTTGATTGGGTGGGAAAGGGTGTCCTTTATGCTATTCTACCACAGGCAGTAAAGTTTATTGAGAAGTTACTGCCCTCCCTCCGGAAAAAGAGAAAGACAATTACTGGAAAATAGGTGAACATTTTCTTCATACATTTGATACTTTTTGTATTGTACCACATTCTCTTATTATTGAATATATGATTGAAAAGCAGACCTCTGAAAAATTGCTGTTTGGAGTACAACTCCCAGAATCTCCCAGAAGATGGCTGAAGGTTTTTGGGGCTGTATTCCAACAAAAATAACTTTTCCAAGCCCTACTGGAAAGATTGGTTTGGTTTGGTAGAAGAAAATGACATCTTGGTACCTAAAGTTGAAAATAGGCAGGTTTGGCTTGTCCTGTACAGGCAATTTATTTATGTTTCTACTTCACTCAAATGAGAAGGTTTTTCTGCCCACAATACATGCCCCACTCTGAGAGGGTTTTTTTTATCCTTAAATTTCTTCTTTCCTTCCTTTCTTTTTCTTTATTTGAAATGTGCCCCACTCTGAGAGGGTTTTTTTAATCCTTAATTTTCTTCCTTCCTTCCTTCCTTTCTTTTTCTTTATTTGAAATTACGTCAGACTGAAATTTTGCTATTTCATCTAAAGTTCATATCTTCATCAGATTATCAAATCTTCTGTGTAATCCTCTGATTATTCTCAATAGGACCTCATCAACTGCAACATCATTTCCCTCACCAAGGTATGTACCAGGCACCAACTGAACAGAAATGGGGAAAAGGTATATTTGTTATTTTGTGTTGAGGATTCCTCTCACACACAAAAATATGCAGTTAAGAAAAGTGTATCTTCTGATGGCTACCTACTGATAGATAAGATCATTGTAAAGGTTTCCAAAAATCACATTCAATGATAATTGTTGTGGCCTGTGTCTCTTTGCAGACACATGTTTTAAGCTTGTGTTGTGTGCATGCAAAAAGAAGAAGGAGAAGAAGAAGTAACATTTAAATCTAATTGGTATCCTCTGAAAACTTTGGCCATGGACACGATGTTTTGCTGATCTCTTATGCAAGACTTCCTTCCTTGAACTTTTAAGTAGGCTTGATTAAAAAGAACTAAGGGGATCTTGATATTGATTTATCTTGACTTCCACATTAGCTAACCTTCACCACCACAACAGTCCAAGAAATTTGGTAGCCAAAGGTGAAGAACAAAATTGTGCACAATTTCTGTTCCATTTCAAGACGCTAATGTGGATTATGGATTCTTCCAGATGGTGTATCTATTTTCCATAATGTATTTGATTTTGCACTGATGACATTGGTATTTATTCTGCTCTCCATACAAAAACAAGCTGTTTTTAGAACCAACAATGAAAGAGTGAGAAATAAACAAAAAGTATAATAACCCAGCACAGAAGATCACTTTTGAAGGGCTGTTACAGATTTTTTGCTGAGTTGTTATTGGAGACTGATAATTTTGGAAATGGATTAGCAGGAGATATCTGCTGCCAAAAGTTCAACTTGGAACTTTTCAAGTTTACCACTAGTATATGAGTAAAACACATACATAAAAGAAAAATCCATTAGAGAACAGCATTTATAGGAAGAGATCATTTCATGTGTTTTGAAAAGTTATCAGAGACAGTGGGTTAACAGTCCACTGTCAAAGCCTCATATCATAAGCCTTCAATTCAAGCACTGAACTTAAAAAATCCGCCAGGGAAAAGATCATTATTAAAGATGGAGAAGCTTTATTCTCACTAGAAAAACAAGATCTGGAGTAAATTGTGGTACTGATATTTCCAAAATTACAGTAAAGTTGAATTAGAACATTAAAACAATATAGCCAAAATAACATTCCTGAAAAATATAGAGATAATGTAAAGAACAGAATTGCATTACTAAATTCAGTCAGTAGAACCGTTGGCTGAAATCAGAGATTTTTACCAGGGAGAAGTGTAAAAAAGACATTCCTGTAGTTAAAAGAAAACCATCACTGAATGACTGAACAATTATTAGCTCTTTTTAAAAAAAGAGAGAGAGAGAAGAGCAAAGGCAAGAGGTGACAGAAGTAGGTTCAGACCCCTAAATTCATCTTCAGTGACTTGTACATAGGGATAAAGAGTTCTATTTCAATTAGGGATAGATTTATTATTATTATCTGGATCACACATACCTTCATTTTCCATTCTGGGATTCTACCCATCTTGCAGGTACCTGGCAAATACCTCAAAGCAGCCGGAAGAAAACCTAAATTAGAAGGCTTGAAACGTAGCCAGGCCAAGCTCTGCTCTAGTGTCCTGCTCAGAAAGAAATCTCCCAATTAGCCTGGGGCAAGAACAGAACAGTTCTTGATTTGAAATATACTTATTTCCACATACTGTATCAGTAAGACTAGACCTTCATCACTGTAACAGCCAGCTTGTACCTCACAAAGGGGCCGTTACGTCACACTCAATCACTCTTTGTTTCCACTGCCACAAACCATTCCCTCAAATAAAGCTTCAGGCCAAAATATGATTTCAAAATAAAAACTTAGGTTTATTGTATATAAACAAAAGGAATGGTAAATCACTTGAATATAAATAATACTTTAATCACTATAATATTATTACTATCACACACCCACTCTCACAGACTCTCACTATGTAGCACAGTGCTTATCTCTGTTTCTCCAAGCCCTAACCGTCCCTATTTCAAAGCCCTATCTGGCCCTATCTGACTCTCTCACACCATTCACTCCCCTTATATATAACAGCTCCACCCCTTATGTCCCACCCACCGTCACGCCATTGGTAGATGACACACAGCTTCAGCAGTGACGGGCAGGTGATGTCATAGCTGTATGTAACAATCACTTCCTTTGTTTTGCTTCAGGGCATTGGATATATGAATATAAGATGCTTCCATTGGTTGTCTCTATGGTTCCCAGAGTTTTCACCAAATGTATGGCACCAGTGGCAGCATATGTGAGAATGAGAAGAATAAATATTTTCCTTTATATAGACGATTGGTAAATTGTGGCAAATTCAAAGGGAAGGTTGTAAGCAAGTGTGAAGATACTACAGTTATTGTCAGATCTCAGTCTGTCAACATAAAATTGTTCAATTCAAGATTCTAGATTCAATTCTAGATTCAATGAGAGGGAGATAATTTCTTTCACCGGGAAGAGTAGACAAGATAATCTCAATGGCTTCCAATTTCAAGCCAGACAAGGAGTTACTGCTCATCCAGCTCAAAAGTGATTGGAACAGAGTCTTACAAGTGGGATCGGTTGGACAAGATCTACAGATATATAATGCAGCGATGGGGAGTGCCACAAATAGACCTTTTAGCAAAACGAGAAAACAGCAAATGCGCAATACGACTGCTCTTGGGCCTCTCAGGGTAAGAGTTCCAGAGATGTATTAGCATAAACATAGACAAACACTTTGAGGCTTTTCTTCCCTCCCTTTCCATTAATACATCGGACAGTTGCCAGGATGAAACAGAAGGAAATGGATGTGACATTGATAACTCAACGATAGCCATGCCAATCTTGGTTTTCAACTTTGTTTTTAATGCCAAAGGACCCTATGAGTCTGCCAATAATTCCAGATTAACATGCCACCATGGGAAGTCCATCATCCAGAGGTAGGAAAACTCTGTTAGTGCAGAGAATATTCCTGAGAGTGGTTGCGTAGGCACCAAAACACCCATATGTATGAATTCACAGCTGACTGCTTGATGAACCGTAGTTACAGATATATAATCTGTTCTTTCCTAGTGCACTGGTCTGATCAACAAAATGCATTGATAATTACATTTGCATTTGCAGTCCTTTAAAAATAACTGTTTTCTTTCTCCTTAATCAGTGGTGAACTATTAGGTGAGGGGTTGCGGGAAATAATGTCCAAAAACATTTTCCAAGTTCTGGCTGGACTGAAGGCTTGCCACGTTCCTCCGCTCTGCAGTTCTATGACACCATCTACTGTATGTTGTCTTAAACAGTCACAAAGTTATAGTTCAAATGTCATTGTTTTTGTTTTAGATGACACAGATAATTTTGAAACAGATGGTCCCAAGGTAAACTGCACTCCTCTCTTTTGTGTGTGTGTGTTTTAAAAAGTCATTTTGCAACTGTTAATGTGCTTTTGATTGATAATATGGTTACATTACTTGATGCAATGAAGTGCATAAAACAAAGACTGTTTCTGGATAATTGTGTGCTCATAAGCTTAGTATTGGGCAACATAGGTTGGTAACATTGTATGTGGCACATGCCATGTAATGGACAGTATACTCTGTGCTAATTCTCCAGCTTGTTTACGTTGTGCACTGACACCCTTTCCTATCTCATCATTAAAATAGGATATGTTAGAAGCATATAAAGCTATGCATGGTGAGGGAAAAGGTAGTTAGGAAGAGGATATGAGGGGCAGGGTCCCTCTCTCTTAGTTCTAGAAAACTGAATTGATTGACGGTAGAGTTTGAGCAGGCAGAGCAAAAGACAGATGATGGAACATTCTGCAACAAATGGTCTCTAGCTTTTATGATTTAAAAGAGGAGAAGTCAGCATTAACCTTATTTAAAGGAGGGAGACTCAGCATTAACCTCTTATGTTCATAAGCAATGTTTATTCAACTATTTCTCTGACTTCTGATTTCTGAAATTATGATCTAAAAATAAGGTAATCTGCTCAGATAGAAAAGGAAGTTAGTTAGTTAGTTAGTTAGTTAGTTAGTTAGTTAGTTAGTTAGTTAGTTAGTTAGTTAGTTAGTTAGTTAGTTTATGCTCAAATTTGTGCCACTTATTTCAGACAAGCACATGGACTTTGTTATCTCGTAGTTTTACAAAATATACATTGGCATTATTTTAGTATTAATTTACACTTGTTTTAGTTCTCTTTTTTAACAATACAAACATCCATTTTGCACAATTGTACAGCTGCAAGGAGAAGCAGACTAAAGTCTTCCGTAAGCACTGTCCTGCATGCTTAGGGCTGTGTGGAAGGGGATCAGAGCCATGCCTCTGCTCTCCTATACCATTCATCCTCTTCTCCCCACCACAGGGCATCTGTGTGTCATTGAGTGTGGTGTCAGTAAAGGGGAAGTCAATCTGTGTACAAAACATTTAGGCTTTCTCGTAACTTGAAGTGTGTGGTCATTAGCAGCCATGTCAATTTAATTTAAAATCTGGAAATAACAAATGTACTCCTAATTGCATTGGAACTTCACCACGGAGCATGGGCAAATAAAACTTTATACCTTCTGTGGATGTGCTGAAATTCACTGCAAGCCTGACTGTGTTTTGAAGACCCCAAAGGGTCTGCAAAGTAGCAGAAAATCCCCATTTCCCTCTAGCTCAGTAATTCTCAACCTTGGATTGTTCAGATATCTTCGATTTTAACTCTTGGAGCCCCAGCTCAGGTCAGGGATTATGGGAACTGAACTTGAAAACGTCTAGAGATCAAAAATGACTACCTTAAATATGACGACCCTGACAGAGTGGAATATCTTTGTATTTTATTATAGGCAAAATTTAATTTACACTTCATTTCACTTTATTTTGTTTTTCAGACAAAAAGGCCTCATTCTAAATATCTCATCTGCCTTAGGCACTTTCCCCTGTCCATTATATACCATCTATTCTGCCTCTAAAGTGAGTGTGTCATGTTCCTTGAAATTTTAGACTTTATCTATATGGCTGTAGGTTTTGTGAGACCCACAATGTGTGAGCATTGTAGATTAGATGGCACCTCGGGGGGCTTCCAGAAGTCATAGAAGTGTTTAGATGCCTCTTCAAGGCTCCTGTTCACTTTCTTCAGATTCTTTACCCTCAAGTTTGATAAGATTGCTGTCTGATTAAGAGTTCTGGTGAACTTGGAAGTTTGCCTTATTTGTGATGTCACATTAATACCATTTCTGATGAAGCAGAGGCATTTAAGCACATTTAGTTGAGGCACATTAGTCGAACAATTGTGGGAGCTGCCTTCACTCAAGACCTTGCATACATTAAATACAACTCTCACAATTTCTAGCCAGCATGGCTGTTCCCATGCTGAGAGTTGTAGCACCACCACTCCATTATGAAGGAACTTCCAAGCTTCAGTTCAGACTTTTTCACTGTCTAGAGGTAGAGACATCCATACAAGTGTCTGAAGTTGCCTCCACAGGGATGGGAACACTGAGAGTGAGGCTATTATATGCAGTTGAGTTCCTGCCCTCATGTCACATGTTCCTTTTTAACATCTGAAGGCAACTATTCGATCTGGATTAACTGTGGTCAAACTGGTGATACTTCTCAATTCATGCAGTATTCTTACATTTCTGTTAAGAGAAAGATCCAAGAGAGAGAGAAAGAATCAGGGATCCTTGAAAAAAGTTCATAGGTAAAGTAAGATGTAGTACTTAGAAGTATAAATGTATGTATTTTCTGTGGCTTTCTTCTTGCGTAATATCATCTATTTTGTCTATCTAGGCTTTTACACGCACATTTTCCAAAGCCCTTCAAGCGGAATATAAAGCAAAGGGAATTATAATAAAGGTAATATATTTTTATTAGTTGCTAGTAAAACTAAAAAGTTCACTGATTTGACAAAATACTAGAAAATTTGGGATGTTTTCCCTATTTTTCATTCTTTTCTTGTCACTGTGCATAATATTCATTCCTGTTCTTTTATATTCTTCTAACGGATGTTATAATTTATGAAACTTTCCATTGTGAGAGATTGTTGGGGTTTGTTGCTGCATTGTTATTTTTGTCTTTTGTTCCAGACAGTGACTCCTTATTCAGTATCGACTCCAATGACTCTGAACTCAGAACCTAACATAATCAACAAGACAGCAGAAGATTTTGCTCAAGAGTCACTGGAATACATTGCATTAGGCGAGGAGACATTTGGGTGCCTAGCCCATGAAATCTGGGTAATCCAATTCTGCACCTTAATTAGAAGAAAGAGGGAGTGACTGATAGGTCCTTCCATCACCAGCTAAATTTAGGGGCTATTGATATCTTTGACATACTAGTTCTCGATGCTTTCATTATTAAAACAAGACTTTTAAGGTAGTGCATCTAATGTGGTTAGCTGCATCTAATGACTGGACGACTCAGTGGTTTAGTTATCTTGCTGCAGAGCCCAAGGCTGGGTGCTTGATCATTGTGCCTCTTTGGAGAAGAGCCAGCCTCTGTGGCCTTGAGCAAGCTGCACAGTTCTAGGGCAACCCCAGAAGAAAGAAAGGGTAAACCACTTTTGAGAACCCTCTACATAGAAACCCCTGAAAATGGTTACCATAAGGCAGAATTGACTTGATGGTACATTTTTGAAAAGTGCAGTCTGGTGTTACTCAGAAGTAATAGGACTGATCCTTGCTTCCAAAAAAAAAAAGGATTACATCATCTTTTATTCAGGCACATTACCATATCAGCAACAAAAAAAAGGATTACATCAGTATCTTTTATTCAGGCACATTACCATATCAGGTTATAAAAATACCTTGGCTTAGATGTTCCTGATATCATATAGACAGACACTAGAGATGGGGGCTTCGTAGTCATAGATGAATACAAAGCCCACCGGCACATGTGGCCAGAACCTGCTGGTCCACTTACAGCACAGGCACTAGAGATGGGTGCTTCGTAGTCATAGATGAATACGAAGCCCACCAGCACATGTGGCCAGCCCAGCGACCTCTCGTCCCCAGAACCTGCTGGTCCACTTACAGCACAGTGTGCATGGCTGGCGTTATAGTCAGTGCACCAATCATAGCAGTAGCCTGGCTGCCACAGCCCCATCTCCATAGTCAGTGCACCAATCGTAGCAGTAGCCTGGCTGCCACAGCCCTATCTCCCTGCTTGCCCGGTCCCTCTGCAGCTGAGCAGGGAGACTCCCCACCACCACCACCACCACCACCTCCTTGCCAGAATTGCTGGCTGAGCAGGGAGATAAGGCTACGAGAGCCAGGCTACTGCCGTGACTGGCATACTGATTATGACACTGGCCACATGCACCGCGCAGCCGCTGTAAGTGGACCAGCAGGTTCTGGAGTCTCCTTGCCAGAATGGATGGCTGAGCAGGGAGATAAGGCTGTGACAGCCGGGCTACTGCCGTGACTGGCACACTGATTATGACACTGGCCATATGCACCGCGCAACCGCTGTAAGTGGACCAGCAGGTTCTGGAGAGGGCAGTAATCGGGCCAGCCACCTGTGCTGGCGGGCTTCATATTCATCTATGAGTACAAAGCCCCCATATCTAACAGAGACCTGAGATTTTTAAGATTGTAGAATCTCTCCTTTATTGGTGGTGGATCTGCAATTAATGATTCAGCAGAGTAACAGCCCAGAGAGTTGCATTGTAAGCTGGTGATTCCAATTTTACATGTAGGTCGGTGTGAGAATCCACTCTGAGTTTGTGTTCAAAGTTTACACAAACTGGCCAAATGGCTGAACTCTATCCCCAAAATAAGTTCAGCACCTTGGAAAGGTTGTGTACACTTTAGAGGATAATCTGTTATAGCTTTACGACCCACACACAATTAGAGTGTGGGGGGGGGTCATAGCGCCTGGGCTTTTTGATTAGTGTGGGTAGTAATATACTCTGTCTTCCCCCAAAAGCTAGATCGGGGTGTTAATGACCGTTTTCAGAATCCACCAGCCAGCATGGGCAGTGAACATTCTAGCTGAGGTTCATGGGAGTTAAGACGGTCAAAAATTTACAAACTTTGGGGTCACCAATTCCCCCTGGGCCTAGCTGCAATCCCCACAGACTCCAGATTTCCCCAGATACAGTAGATGATTGTGAATTTAGCGCTCCTTATTGCAGTGCAGGTTATTTTGAGGTGCGTTGAATGGAAATTAATACATCTTACAAATGGCCTGCTCTTTTTAGAGATGGGACCAGCTAGAACTGGTTGGTTGATATAGATCTAAACATGTTTGGATTCTTGGTGGTGGCATGGTGGTTATGGGAATTTCGCCATGAGCACCAGCACTTAAAAGTGTACCACTACATCACTGCCAGCATCTAGGTATTAAGAGCTATGTAGTGATATAGTTTCCTTGACTGACTTAAGAACCTGGAAATGTAATTTCTAGACTAATACGGCCTTTCCTACCCAGTGCATACACAGGGATTTTCCATGTTTGGAAATGCCATTCAGCAGTCATCTGTAAGATGGAAATTTCTTACTGCATCTTTCTTGCTATTGTCCTAAAAAGTCAGATGACTTGTCTGAGTGAATAGGAGTGGCTTTGAATGACATGAAAGGACAGCAGATTGTTAAGCACTTTACCTCCTTATTACGATATTTTTTTACAGGGATGTCGCTACAGGCGGTTGTGGGATTTAGTGTCCCAAGCACTTGAATAACTGAGTGGTAGGAAATTTGGGACTGATATAAGTACTTCTTCCCAGAGGACATAGTCAAACCATGGAATTTCCTGGCCCGAAGTGATGGCCACCAAATTGAGTGGCTATGGCTACAGACAGGGATCAGGCAAATTCATAGAGAATAAGTCTATTAATAGCTGTTACTCCTGATGGTTACATATTATCTCCAGGAACAAAAGTGACAGGGAGGAGATGGTATTGCCCTCATATCCCATCTGTGGACTTACCATAGGCATCTGGTTGGCCACCATGACGACAGAGTGCTGAGCTCCGCAGCTGCCTAGTTGATCTAACAGATCTCTTCTTGTGTTCTTAACTTGACCTGTCTTGTGTTCTGTGAATTCTGAGCTACCAGGAGAAGGGTAAGATTTACTGCTCTGCCTCAGGTAGCAAAATGCTTTTGGGATTGGCTCTTTTACTATTTACCCAAAAGGTATAACCTTGAGACGAGGAGAGGCACGAACTGTTAGATGCAAAAACAATTAGCCAGTGTTTTGTCGTCAATGTTATAAAATCTGACTGTATAAGATTTTAAGGTGTCTTTCTTTCTTCTTTTCAAAGGCACGATTTGTACACTGTATTCCTTTGTGGGTCTTCCAAAGTGAGAGAGTACAAGATCTATTCCAGACTTTAATTTCAGAGCACCTGAAAAAGAATTTGAAAAGTACCTGATAAAACCTTTACTTGGGATGTGTGGTGTCGCAGTGCCTGTTTTGACAATCTAATATGAATTATGCCAGCAAATTCAAACGCTTTTAATATGAGCAAATTAAAAACAAATCATGTACTGTATTATGGTAAATTAATTTGCTTCTGTTGTCCTTTCTGTAGCTTGAATTTACAGCTTGTACTTACTTGAGAAACAATGTTGTGTGTACAGTATTGATTTTGCTGTCAATTTGAACATAATATTGATGTTCAAGGAGCAACCGAAATATTATTTTGAAATTGTATTGAAATAAGTTCTGAAAGAACTTTGTGGAAAGTTTAGTCCTGCTGGAGGAAAGTATTATTGCAGAATTTGGTGGGACATTGGGCGTGGCTGCACAGGAGAAGACAGGATTTAATTTGCTTGCTTTGCATTGTTTAGCTTCCCCTGCCAAAATTGTTGTAGCTGTCCACACCAGTAAGATAAATTACCCCTTTGTCCATACTGCGCTTCCAATCGCCCTCCTCTGCACTCCTCTTTGTCCTTCCCCTTTATGCAGAAGCATAATGTTCAGTTCCCAGCAGATTAAATTGTAATACTGGAAATCTGTTTCAAATTTGACACATTTCATGTGCCATACAACAGCAGATCCTTATTAGAGAGGATTCCTCCCTCCAAAACAAAATCCTGCAAACTTTGAAGCATGCTTTCCATCCCTATTTCATTTATATGAGCAAATTTATATTGACGGTTTTGAAAATGTTGAATTTAAGAAGGGTACCTAGCTGATCCATAAACAGGCTCACACTCATCTGATGAAAGATTCCCAAGAGCAGGGAAAGATTCACTGTACACCAAAAGAAACAAGGCAAAGTGTGCTGCTTATATACCACCCCATAGCGCTTAAAGGACTCTCTGGGTAGTTTGCAATTTAATTTTGCAGAGTACACATTGCCCCCCGCCCCCCACTGATCTGAGTACTCAGTTTACTGACCTTGGAAGGATGGAAAATTGAGTCAATCTTGAACCAGCTACATGAGCCCTTTGGAATAGAACTCATGTTATGAGCAGAGTTTTGACTGCAGTACTGCGGCTTAACCACTGTACCAGGAGACTCTTGGAACAGCCACCCAGAGCACCAGTGAGGACCAGATATTTCAACAATGAAAAGGAAATGTTTTATATATTATGTAGCAATTAGCTGATCTTGCCTTCTTTGAACTGAGTTGTGTAGCACCTAACATAATTGATCAGTTATCCCTCTGTCATGACTAATGTGCAGGGGAGGAAATTAATGGCTAAAATCCTGTTGTGCAGTCCACATGTGCAGTGAGGATGATGTGTTTTTCTTAATTAATTCAAAATAAAAGAAAGCAAAGCAAACAGAATATTAAACATACACATGCCTTAAAACTTTTAAAACGTCTACACAGTTCAATAGGAAAAAAAAATGACAATCTTAACCAATATTGGTGCACCCACTACTAGGATCAGAAGAGATAGAAATATATTTCATATGTTCTTCTTGTTATGATGACCTGTAACCCCTCCAAAATAATATTATCTCATGTTTAGGTAAACAACCCTCACTTTTCCTTAACACATAGTTCAAAAAGTCTTGCCATATTTCAACAAACCTATTCTCTTTCAACAGCCTCTTTTTAACCTTTAAGTCCCATGTCAGCTTATTGTGGATAGCTATTTCTCAAAGTTTATTGTATAATTCAGTTAACTGATACATATACTTCGGTTTCTAATTTCTTGTAATCTCTAGTTTATCAGCTGTTACCATGCTCATAATTAAATGTTTTTAAGCCTGGTTTCAAAAGCAAACAATAGTGCAATATATCGGGAAACTTTTCTTGCTGAATATAATTCTCCCCACCCCCACCCACCCCCGGCCACCATTTGTTTAACTATTAAACTGACTGATCCATCCAGGCTTCTTGCATGTCTGAGTTTCATTTGCTGCATGTTCAACTGTGTAGTTGCCGAGTTTGCACTTTCCATTTTTTCCATACCACCACCTCTTTGTGGAAGGAGGGGCAGAGCTCTTCATTTTTAACACCAAATTGGCAGGTGATGACAACAGAGTTCTTTCCTTGTTGGAAATGTTGTGTGTAGCATACCGTCCAGTCAGAACTGACTTAATGTCAGTTAAGGAGTGGTTTTTTCAGTTTCACTCTCCCAGGGAGTTCACATGGCTGAACAGGGATTTGAACCCAGACCTCCCTAGCCTTATTTCATTACTCTATCCACTGCACCATGCTGGCAGGTGAGTATAAGAGAGTCTTTTCCTTGGTAGAAATAGTTATAATTTGGTAGATGCCACCGGAGGAAAATTTCAGCATTTTACCATAAATTCACTAATCTCTTCATGTTCAAAAAGAATGACATTTTAAAAAATCTGAATGGAGGAAAAAGCAAAGCTGGCCAGTGTTCTTCAAGGGAGTTTTTTATTTTATATTTAAAAACAAAGCTGAAATATTCTCACAATATACTACAACTTTTCCCAGATAACAGTAATTCATTAGGATGGTAATGGTGATGTGGAGACACTATTGATCAATACAATGATAAATTCAATGTATAACATACACTTATTCATACTTGCCTTCATAATACTCAGAATGGGCTTCTTCCAACCTATGTTTTAAATCAACAGTCTGTTCCTTTTAAAGTTTTTATTCATTTTCAATAGGAATAAAGGTTGGGGTGTGGATACAGGGAAACGGGGGGTGAGTAAGGATGGGGAAAGGGTAAAATTCCAGAGAGCGCAAGAGTGTTCTTACATCCGTTCTTACATCCACTTACTTAGTTATGCTTAAAAGGGAAATCACACAAGTAAACATTATAACAAATTTTCCGAAATATCTATCGTTACTACTCTCCATTCCTTTGGACCTTCTCATTCTTCTTTTATCTATACTTTCCAATCCATATTTTGGGTCCAGTTACAAAACCATTCCCCTTTTTTGAGTCCTTTTTGAGATGACCTTTCATTAATGCTTCTGTTAGTATATCCATCTCTGCCACTTCAAATATATTTTCTATCAATTCCTCAAGATGTTTTGCTGTACTTCTTCTGGTGGTATCTCCATAAGTGGGGCTAAAAAAATTGTTATCAGTTGCACTGTATCTTCACCTTTTTCTTGTGGAAGATTCTGGAATCTAAGAATAAGGTTGGCTCCCTCTATTTGTAGCTTTAGTACATTGGCGCCATCTTGTTTTCTTTCCCGTTGTGTTCCTTGCAGTTCTGCCTTGATGTCCTCCACTTTTTTCTCTATCTTTGTTGAAAATTCAGGTATTTTAGCTATTTCCCTTTTATTTTCTGTAATTTGGTTTTTAATCGCCTTCATTTGCATCCCAAAATCTTTAATTTGTTCAAATAGCAGCTCCATCCCTCCTTGTATCTGTTGTAACCTAGTAGATAACATGTATTGAACACTCTTTTGCCTATCCTTGAGGGTCTCTTGTCCCATTATTTTGCTCAGACTTTGCCCCTGTGCAGGGGAGCCTCTAGGTATTCTTCCTTCTTTCGTTGCCAGGGTTTCAGTTATCTCTTTAAAAAAAAATAGCAATAGTTAAAAAACAGGGTTGTTTTGGGTTGCCTCTGCTACTTCAGATGCCACTTCTCCCAGTGACAATCCTTTAGCCCCCCAAGGTTTGGGGGTCCCAAACTGAGATCTAGGTGTTCTTCCTTCTTTCGTTGCCATGGTTTCAGTTCTCTCTTTTTTTAAAAAAAATTAGCAATAGTTAAAAAACAGGGTTATTTTTGGTTGCCTCTGCTACTTCAGACGCCACTTCTCCCAGTGACAGTCCTTTACCCCCCCAAGGTTTGGGGGTCCCAAACTGAGGGGTCTCGGTCAGTTTTAGGAGCTTTCCTAAAACCAAACCAGTTTCGCCATGATGAAGCCCCATCTCCAAAACTGCTGGCAGATGTTCTCATGCCTACCATACAAACCAGTGGCATTTAGTCGTAAGCTACTGGCCTATCAGTCTGAATAACTCAGCACAAATTAACTTTCAGTCTGCCCATCTCTGCTTTTCTACTATTCCTGCATTTGTGCGTCCAGGCTTATCTCTTAAATGGTATGAATAGAAAGTAGCTCTGACTCCACAAGTAGATACCAAGGCAATTTGCAGAAGTACAAGAAAAAAATCTGACTCTCAGAAATAATATGAGCAACAAAATTCCTCCCCCACTCCATAGTCCCTAAATTGTAGTGAAGATAATAATGAAGAAATCTTAGGGTTTGGGGAAGTGGATTTTCATATGGACATGAAAAATCAGGACAAAAATCAGGGAATGCGAGCTGTAAGCAAGCACAATTTGAGACATGCTCAATATAATTTTTGGTCAAAGGGCATCGCTATTTAGGTTTCAACCTTAGCTTCCACCTGAAGCTTTACCTTAGGAGATGGTGCGCTCTTTGACTCCTCTGCCTTTAGACAATCTTGCTTTACATAGATGGCTTCCAGTAGCACTCCTCCTAATCTCCAAGAACATTGTCTTATAATGTGTCTGTATATGAATGCCAGGAGTATAGGAAACAAACAAGAAGAACTGGACATTTTAATGCAGGAGGGTAAGTATGACTTGATAGAAATCACTGAAACTTGGTGGAATGACTCCCATGACTGGAATACAGCAATTGAGGGATATAAACTGATCAAAAAGAACAGAGAGAATAAAAAGGGAAGTGGAGTTGCAGTATATGTCAAAAATATGCATTCCTGCACAAAAATACAGGAGGAGGAGATTGGCTGTCCAGTTGAGAGCATCTGGATCAATCTAGGTGGAGCAAAAAACAAATGGAACTTGGTAGTTAGAGTCTATTACCGACCACCCAATCAAAGAGGGGACGCGGACAAAACTTTTGGAAAAAAATTGCAGGGTTTTCAAAGAGACATGATGTAGTAGTGATGGGAGATTTCAATTACAGTGGTGCCTCAACTTACGACTGTCCCTACTTATGGCCAATTTGACTTACAAACAGCTCCGGTCGCAAAATTTTGCTTCTACTTGCAACTGGAGCTTCCACTTACGAACAAAAAAGAGGGGAAAAAGGCGGGAAATTCAAATTGCTAAGTGTAGGTGTTGAAAGAGGCTGCTTCTTTGCAGCTCTTTCACCCCAGCAGTTAGAGAGTGCGCAATCATAGGAGGCTGCCTGCTAAGGTATGGTGCTGCTTTATGCTTTTTAAAAACTGTTCTTGATATTTCTGCAGGGTAGTTTTTGGCTGGGGGGGGTTTATGTTTCTGTGCTGTGATGGGTCTTGGAGGTTGTTTGCTTTTTTGTTTCTCCCTATTTCCGATGGGGGGTTGGTTGGTTTTTGGAATGTTTTCCCCCCATTTTTGATGGGTCAAGGGGGGGTTGTTTGTTTTTTGGTTCCCCCCCCCATTTCCGATGGGTCTTCGGGGGTTTGGTTGCTTTGGGGTTTTTTCCTCCATTTTTGATGTATCTTGCATGCTTCCGTTGCTTTTTGCTTTGTTCTCTTTGCATTTCTGATCTGCTCCCTTTGATTTCTGTGCATTTCTGACCTTGTCCCTTCGTTCTCTGTGCATTTCCAATCTGCTCCGTTTGTTTTCTGTGCTTTTGCAATGGATCCTGCATGTTTCCCTTGCTTGGAACACATTAAATGGGTTTTAATGCATTTCAATGTTTTTTTTCTTTTCACATTACGACGTTTTTGTTCTACAGTGATTTTGCTGGAATGAATTAACGTCGTAATGCGAGGCACCACTGTAGTAGTGATGGGAGAGTTCAATTATCCAGATATATGTTGGGAGGCAAATTCTGCCAAGTACAGCCCTTCCAAGAAATTCCTGGCTTGTGTGGCTGATAATTTTCTTCTACAAAATGTGAAGAAAAAAACTAGAGGATTTGCTATCCTTGACTTGATTCTGACAAAAAAGGCAAATGGTATTTTAGGCTGCA